CTTGCAATAGAGCCTCCTCCTGGTATGCCGTGCTCCCCCCGCAACCAGAAGCTCCTCTCAAAATTGTGGCGCCGACCGGTGACGGAGCCGCAGCAGAGGGAGGAAAGAGCCACATGCGGCTCCAGAGCTGCAGTTTGCTGACCCCTGGGCTAGAGAAAAGAAGGAACAACTTGCCTTCAGAAGTGCTGGGTGCTCCATCACTGGAGGTTTTCAATAAGAGATAGGACAGCCATTTGTCTGAATAATATAAGGTCTCCTGTTTGAACAGAGGGTTGGACTAGAAGACCTTAAAGTCCTTTCTATTCTGTACTCTATTCTGATCGAGTTTTGCATTACCCCAAATGAACACTGAGTAATATTCTGCAGCAGTACTAAATAATCTAGAATCTATCCCCTTCCAGCGCCTCAATAGCATTTTTGGAGCTGCATTTTACTTTTCAATCTCTCGCTGGCAAGGCATGCTATTTCTTCCCAAAAGAAATCCTTTTTATTTATTTATTTTACCTGTGAAGAACTACAGGTTTTTCCACAGGATGTCCAAGAAGCTCTTGAATATTATCCCACTACAAGAAAAAAAAAGGAAATGAAGAGAACGAAGCCCGTTTGTGAATGTCCTTATTTAAAAACAAACTGAAAAAAGGTTCTGCGTGCATCTCGTTTCCAGAATTCAGGTGCCATTTTGGAAGAAGTGCGAACGTCTCTCAGTGGAGACCCAACAGCTGTCTCGTTTCTGGCTAAGCCTGCTCTTTCTTTGACCTCCCTGGAAACTTTAAAAACTGCAAATATCTTAAAGTAAGCTGTGTTCTGCTATGAATCCATCAAACCCCCCCCCCCCCGATTCTTCTCAGACCCCATGTAAAATGGCCTTTTTCAGCACCTCTCCTATTAACCTCTGGGCAGAGGTGGGTTGCTCCCGGTTCGCCCCGGATCGAGAGAACCGGTAGTAGCAGCGGCAGGAGGCTCCGCCTACCTGCCCAATGCAGGTATGCTTCGGCATGCTCAGAAGCATCACACCCGTGTGCAAGCGTGCCCGAACAGGTAATAATAAAAATTGGCAACCCACTGCTGCCTCTGGGGAATGGTAGAGAATAGGAAGGCCTGGAGTAGGGGTTCTCAAACTACAGCCCACAGGCTTTTGGCCTCCCCGATCTCCAGAGAGAGAGAGGAGAGAAAGGAGGGAGATAGATAGATAGATAGATAGATGGATGGATGGAGATAGATAGATAGATAAACAGGTCCCTCATACACACCCTAAGGCAGCCACATCCCTTCACTAACCTGCTTTCCACCCTAGGAGCAAAACAAATTAAAGTTTAATTTGTGTGTATTGTTTGGACTGCTAAATTGGCCACGCCCCCGTCACATGACCACCAAGCCACGCCTCCCCCCAACAGTTTGAGGGACCATGAATTGGCCCCCTGTTTAAAGAATTTGAGGACCCCTGGCCTGGAGGAACGTTGCCCATGGGGTCGTGATGGGTCAGACACGACTTCGCAACTAACAACAACAACCACCTATTAACCTGGACAAAAAACAACCACAAGTAAAACACCTGTAAAGGTCAGGGCTGTTCTAAGAATCTCCTCTTTGTGATTTACCTTGCTGTACGTTGTGCAGGTTTCCGTCTGTGACTCGGTGCTTTCTAGTTTGAGAGAGAGAAAAAAAGTAAGTTTACATGTCAGCAGCACATTCCTCCTAGCGAATGCCCAGAGCAGAAAAGGAATATCTACGGGGGTTCTCCATCATCCAGGTCATGGTTGTCCCCAAAGGTGCTTTTTTAAAGGGCA